ACCAAAATGGCATAGATACATACCTATCTATATGCTTTCTACAAGAGACTCACTTCAGATTTAAGGAAACACAAAGATTAAAAGTGAAGGTATGGAAAAAGATACTTCATGCAAATGGAATTAAAAGAAAGTTAAGGTAGCTATACTTCTATCAGTCAGAACAGACTTTAAGACAAAGACTGTAATAAAAGACAAAGATGGTCATTCTATAATAAAAGGTTCAATCCACCAAGAGAATAGAACATTTATAAATATTTATGCACTCAACATAGAGGAGTACATAAACCTATAAAGCAAATGTGAACAGAACTGAAGGGGGAAACAGCTTGCAAGACAACAATACTAGGGGACTCTAATACCTCACTTTCACGAATGGGTAGATCATTCAGTCAGCAAATCAGTAAGGAAACATTGGCCTTAAACAAACACATTAGATCAGATGGACTTAACAGACATGCTGACCATTCCACCCAAAAGCAACAGAATACACATTCTTCTTAAGTGCACATGGAACCTTCTCCAGGACAGATAATCTGTTAGGCCATAGAACAAATCTTAAAAATTTAAGAAGACTGAAATCATGTCAATCATTTTTCTGACCACAAGGATAAGAAACTAGAGATTAAACAAGAACAAAATTGGAAAATTCACACAAATGTGGAGGTTAACAAACATGCTACTGAACAAACAATGGGTTAAAGAAGAAACCAAAAGAGAAGCCCAAAAAATACCAGAAGTTATGTGATCCAGTAACTGCAGTTTCAACGGTGAAATTCCTAGGAACAAATGCCTACATGGAGAAACAGGAAAAACCACAATCAGCTTAACTTTATACCTCAAGGAACTAGGAAAGGAAAAACAAACAAAAAGCCCAAAGTTAGTAGAAGGAAGGAAAAAGAAGAAATTCAGGAAATAAAGGCTAAAATAAAAAGATAAACAAAACTGACATACCTTTAGCTAGACTTCCCAACAAAACAGGAGGACTCTAATAAAATCAGAAATGAAAGAGAAGTTACAACTGATACCAGAGAAGTATAAGGATCATAAAAAATAATTAAGTAGGACAGCCTAAAAGAAATGGATAAATTCAAGCTTTTCACCATTGAGCATGATGTTAGCTGTGGGCTTATCTTATATAGCCTTTATTATGTTGAGGTGTATTCCTTCTATACCAACTTTGTTGAGTTTTATTACAGATACTGAATTTTGTCAAATGCTTTTTCTGCATCTGTTGAGACAATCATGTGATTTTTATCTTTTGTTAATGTTAAATTAGAATAATCAAATTCAGTAAAAGATACAAAATCAACATATGAAAATCTTGTTTCTATGCACTAATAACAAAACTATCAGAGAATTTAAGAAAGCAATCCTATTTACAATTGCATCAAAAAGAGTAAAATAATTAGGTATAAGTTTTACCAAGGAGGTGAAAAACCTGTACACTGAAAACTGTAAGACACTGATGAAAGAAACTGAGGAAGAGAAATAAATGGAAAGATATTCTGTGTTCATGGACTGTAAGAATTAATATTGTTAAAATCTACACTACTCCAAGCAATCTACAGATTGAATGCAATCTCCATCAAAATTTCCAGGGCATTGTCACAGAAATAGCACACACAATCCTAAAATTTGTATAGAATCACAAAAGACCTTGAACAGCCAAAGCAATCTTGATCAAGAGGAATAAATTGGAGGTATCATGTTTCCTGATTTGAAACTGTATTACAAAGCTTTAGTAATTAAAGCTGGTATTGACATAAAAACAGATGCATAGATCAGTGGCACAGAATGGAGAGCCCAGAAGTAAACCCATATATGGTTGATTAATTTATAACAAAGAAACCAAGAATATGCAATGGGGAGAGAACATTCTTCAATAACTGGTATTGGGAAAATTGGAGAGCTCACATAAAAGAATGAAATTGGACCACCATCTTACACCATACATACAAAAACTAATTAAAAGTGGATTAAAAAAGTGGACATAAGACATAAAACCATAAAACTCCTAGAAGACAACATAAATGGTAAGCTTCTTGACATCAGTTCTGGCAATGACTTTTTAGATTTGAACACCAAAAGCAAAGGCAATAAAAGGAAAGATATACAAGTGGGATTACACCAAACTAAAAAGTTTATGCGCAGCAATGGAAACCATCAAGAAAATAAAAAGGCGACCTACTAAGTGGGTAAAAGTATGCAAATGTAAGGGCTTAATATCCAAAATATATAAACAACTCAATAGCAAAAAATCTTATCGAAGGAACTGAATAGACATTTTTCCAAAGAAGACACACATATGGTCAACAGGTACTTGAAAAGATGTTCAACATCACTAGTTATCAGGGAAATGCAAATCAAAATCACAATGAGATACCACCTCACATCTCACACTTCATGGGAGCTGGAGGGGTGTTCAAAATGGGTGAAGGGGGTCAAAAGGTACAAACTTCCACTTATTTATAAATAAGTCTTTTGGATGCTAATGTACAGCATGGTGGCTATAGTTAATAATACTGTATTATATATTTGAAATTGCTAAGAGAATAGATCTTAAAAATTGTCATTATAAGAAAAGAAATTGTTAACTATGTATGGACAGATCTAAACTAAATTTACTGTGATCACTTTGCAATATATACAAATATTGAATCATCATTTTGTGTACCTGAAACTAATATAGCATTATATGTCAATTATATCTTAATTTAGAAAAAAGACTCTTAACCATATACTAACTGGACTTAAGGCAGCAGTTAACATTGAACTGTGATTAAAAAGTTTAAAAGTGTTTACCAATGCTTAAAATGTTTCATCAAATACTGTTTCTAAAATGACTGGTACGGTGATTGACTGTATATTTCTTAACTTCCTGAGGACAAAGCCTGCTCTTAATGTAAGTCTATTATTCATGCTTTTTAGCAACAAGTTTTATTCAGAAGTAAGGACTGCCTGTATTGGCTTAGAATCCCTCAAATGTAATTTGTGATCCTGGTATTTAGGGTAAATTGCGGTTAAAACATACTGAAAACCCAGAGAGTCATTTCTAATACTGGCTCTTTGATCTCATATAAACCTAATTTACTTACCATGGCCTAAATACATCTGCAAAATGAAAAAGATGAAATATAGTTAGTTCTAAAACTTCTTCAGAGTTGAAAGGATTGTCCCTGTTGGAAGGGTGAGCAGAAAGGCATAGGCAAATTTTTTTAGATCTAAGATGTAAAGCAATTTTTATTTTATCATGGTCACTAAGAGCTCAGTTAAAAAATATTAAGCACCTATTATAAATTAGAGCTTTTAGTGTGTGTTATGTACACTCTGGTGAACAAAATGTCTGTGCTTATAGAAGTTACTAGTGTTATAGAGGGCTGGGGAAGAGAGCAGTGCAGATATGGAAGTTAATTGTAAGATTGAATATTTACTTTTGATTCAGCTTCAGTGGCACTTTTGCCTAGTCTCTGGTCTGCCATTCCGTATCACTTGTCTATACAGGTGTATAATCTAAAAATGCTCATTTTTATAATTCCCTTGAGTACTGTAATGCCCAGCCATTAATTCAAGAAAGTTAGGTACCCAAAAAAGACTAGGAAAGGATCATGAATGAGAGGAAGTTACGTATCTCCCCAGTAAGATGTTGCACTGGGACTTAGATCTGGTAAATCAAGTTCCCAGGACACTTTTGACTTTGTTCCATAAATTTTGCTTGAATACACTTTTCCCTTCAAACCTCTTCAAGACAAAAAACACACTAGGCCATGCTTGGCAGAAATTTCCAATAGTTTTCTTGAAAAGATAGACTTTAAATCATATATTAATGACTGAGAGGTCTAAAAACAATTTTAAGACCAAATTATTCTCCCTAATCTGTTGCTTTTGCTTAGACGGAGACTCCTAATGTCCCAACACTTCTGGTTTTAGTAATAAGACAATTAATTTGTATGTGCAGAGTTCCAAATCAGTCACTGATCTGCCATAGAGACCCTTCTCATGTATAAAACTATATGAAACATCCACTCGGTTATATATATTAAGCAATGCTTAATGAATCATCTAAGCAAGAGTATCTAATAAAGTTCTAAATTAAAAAAAAAAATCTATACCTACAAAGCTGAAGACCACACCTCGGAATATAGTGACTTTATCAAACAAGTCTAGACAACATTCTTCAGTATCTTGATTCATACCTGTCAAAGCTTTTGAACAGAACACAATTTTGGAGAAAAAATTATCCAATGTATATATTTATGATACACCAGAGAGAGAAAGAGGGAAAAAAATCCCAGATAAATTAAGGAGTTTAATAAAAATATTTCAAAATGTCAGAGAGGGGCAAAGGAGAGGAGGGAATGACTTACATCTCTTGATATACTAGGGTTTTCCAAGTTCCTAACAGGTCACGCAAATCAATTTAAAAACACTATAACAAATAAATGAAATTTATTTGAAAAAAATTCTTCACAAAAAAAACCATCAAAAGTAATGCAAGAAATAGTCAATAGTAAAAAAACACAGATTAAAACAACCTATATCTTGCACACCAATTAAAAAGATCAAATAAAAAACTGAAGGGGCAGGTAATGATGCAATGCAATAGGCAATAACTTTAATACACATGAAAACCAACAATATCATTATAGTATAATCCAACCATTAAACCAGAGTTTGAAATAACATGTGAAAATATTATGTCATAATGTTGAATGAAAAAAATACAATGCTACTATATATTACAGGCACAAATGTATATAAAAACCTCAACAGAAAGAAGCCAACTGAAAGATAAAAAATAGTACCAAAATAACACAGTATTGTTTTATTGGGGGTAGTGATATGAAAAGATATTTTATGAAATAATGAGGTTTATATCACAGCTACCCGGTAACTGCCAAATCAAGCCATCTTTGAAAAACATACATTGGTCAATCAATTAACATCTCATCTAAGTTATATCTGAACATCTGTGAATAAAAGTACCACTATTAAGAACTTACCACATGAGTAGTTTTTAATGTATTGCCATCAAATCTGCATAAACTGGAGCTCTCTTCAAAGAAAATATCACATTCTTCTAACTCTTGAGCATTACAAGGAGGTTTTTCTTTATCTGGATTTGGATTCTTAGACCAGAAAATGAAACAACTCAATAAACAAACAACAAAAAAAGAGTGGATTATTATGTTCATACTTTAAATTGTTAAGATTATAGTAATAATGAGAATTAAGTTTCAGACCGATAATCAATAAAAACCAAATCAACAGGAACAGACATAGAAATGACAGAATGATAATACCAGCAGAAAAGGATATTAAAACAGCTATTATAAACATATTCAAAGATATAAAACATGAACACATTGAGAGAGATATGGAAATATAAAAGAGCTGAACTGAACTTGTAGATATGAAAATACAGTATCTGAAATGGAAAACAAAATAGATGGATTGACATTTAAGTAGACACCACAGAAGACCAGTTGAGCTCAAAACATAGTAATAAGGTCTATCTAAAATGAAACAGAGAAGACAAAAAGTAAAAACACAGAACCCCATTTCCGATGGAACAATATCAAGTGGTCTAACATACTAAGTAACTAGGAGGAGCAGGAAGAATGGAAAATTTATTAAAAAAATAATGGCCAATTTAAAAAAATATGAAAAGTATGATCTTAAGATTCAAGAAGGTCAAAGACATCCAAGCATAACATACTTAGAAAAAAAATCACAGCAAGTCACATTATGATGATACTGCGGAAAAGCAGTAATAAGGAGAAAAACCTTAAACAGGTTAGACGAGGAATAAAATACATTATGAACAGAAGAACAAAGATACACATGACAGCCAACTTCTCATCAGAAACTATGCAAATCAGAAAACAATGGAGTATTTTTAAAGTTCTAAAAAATGGAAAAACTGTAACACATACTTAACAAAAATAGTTCTAAAAAGAAAAAACAAGTATTTTTACAAAGAAAATATGAGAGAATTTATCCAGCAAACCTCTATTATAAGAAATGTCAAAAGTTTTTCAGCCAAGAAAAATAATGAGATGGTAATCTGAATCACCACAAATGTAGCACTGAGGAAATGACCAGTATTTCTTTCCCCACATTTTAAATATTTTTAAAAGAGAACTAACTAAAGTTAAAGTACTAATGTATATTATTAAGTTTTTAACATGTAAACATAAAATGTATTAAAAAAAACAAAGTTGGAGGAATAGGAATACATTATAAATTTCTTGTAAGTGAAGTGATACCTTTTTTGAAGATAGATGGTGATGTTACAGGTGTTTGATATCTGGATCTGGACAACGGTCGCATGAATGTATACACATGTCAAAATACATCAAGCTGCACACTAAGATTTGTGATTGTATTATATGTGCCTCAATAAAAAACATATATATCTAAGCCTCAGAAAACAACAGAAGCTTCCAAAACTGAAGAGCAAAGAGAAAAAGACTGGGGATAAAAAATACAGAAGACCCAGAAACTCTGAAACAACTATAAAAGGTGTGACAAAAAAAAAGTATACTATGAATTCTAGAGAAACCACTAAACACACACACACAAACAAAAACACAGAGGTATAACTTAAAAGCAAAATGGAGCTAGATAGAATCATTAAAATAATTTGAATATGTTCTATTGCTTGAATTCAAGAATCACTGTGTAGTCATATCCCTCACAGGGTCACAACACTTAAGTGATAAATTACACACACACATGTATGTAACAAATACAATTCTACAACTGAACAAATGTCCACACACTTAGTTTGCCAAAATACAGTCATGTTATTGAGAACTTAATAAAATGAACTGAGAGAGTCTACGAAACTAAATAGCTGGGAATTATAGAGGATCTGTTTTACCAAATCTGTCCATGTCCCAGCTGGGATATGGAGCCCCCTAACTGTAGTTGTCTGCTCCAGTCTAAATATCAACGGAAAAAGTTCTGGTTGCTATCGCTGGCTGAAGGCAATCCCAGCAATTAGTGACTCAAGTCATTTGTGACTCACAATGACTCAAGAAGATACGTATGTCCAAAGATATAGCAGGCCTCCCTCCCTCCCTTCCCCCTTCAATTATCTCTATGTCAGAGATAGGAAGGCAAAAATTAAAAGTTCAGAACTATCAAGGCAGCCAATACTGAACAGGACAAGATTACAGAGAAAAGGGAATAGCAGAGAAGAGAACCTTCTGAGACTCCTAGTAATGCTGCTCTCCTAGTACCACTTACTGAGTTGAAAAAGACAAGTGGATAGCAGCAGATAAGAGGCTAAGAAGCTGAGTCTGGATATTATCAAACTGCTTGGGTATAGAAATTACAGATTAGGGCCCACTTAAGAGGAGAAGCCCTGGAAAACATCTCAAACTTTCAGTAGAGATTCATGAAAGATGTGCCCTAGGAGGAAGAACGAACAGGAATAATTATCAGCCATGTAAAGAAACTCTGAAATCCAGAATCAAATCAAATCAATCCTTAATGGGATTAACAGAACAGGCTGAAAATTTAGAGGAACACAGCTAAGTAGCATTTAACAGGAAGAGTATAGTATTAAATGCTTTCATTAAAAAAGAAAGGTAAAAAAAAAAAATCAATTATCTAAGTTTTCACTTCCAAAAAAAAAGAGCAAAATAATTCCAAAGTAAGCAGAAGGGAGAAAACAATAATATAATAACAGAAATGTATAAAACTGGAACCTGAAATAAAAAGTCAATGGAAAGAGATGCCCAAAATAATCCTGTATCTAGTATCTATTAAAGAAATTAAATTCACATTTAAAGATCTTCCAAAAAAGAAAACCCCAGTCGAGATAATTTTACTGGCAAATTCTACCAAACACTTACACAAGAAATAACACCAATTCTACACAATCTCCTTCAGAAACAGAACAAGAGACAAAACACTTCTCTTTTTTATTAGGTCAGTATTATACCTAGACACCAAAACTGGATTAAGACAGTAAAAAGACAAAATGAAACAAAACAATTTAGGCCAATATTACTCACAAACATACATGTAGAACTCTTCAATAACATATTAACAATCCCAAATCAATAATATGTAGAAAGGATAAATACATCATGACCAAGTGGGGTTTATCCTACAAATGAAGAAAATTCATTTGACAAAATTCTAGAGCCTTTCAGGATAAAAACTCAATATACTAGGAATAGAAGGAAATTTTCTCAACATGGTAATATGTAACATCATCCTTAATAGTGAAATATTCTTCTCCTCCAGATCATAAGGCCAGAATGTCTGCTTTTACTATTCTCCATTTCCATTTTATACATAGTTTAGAGATTTTAACCAATACAGTATGGTTAAATATAAAGATATGAAAATCATAGAACTGCCTTAGTTACAGATGACAAGATTTTATGTTTTTTTCAAAATGTAACACACACTGGCGGTGTTTCAAACAAACAACTTACTCGTATACACCACTATTCATTGGAAATCAGCAAATTTAAAAGGCAGTTAGAAGCAATTATCTACAATCTCAAATAAGCCCCACTATAATCACTATTAATATGCTCAGAGCCCTATCACAGTAAAGATTTGCTGAGTGAATAAACATAAAACAATGCAGTCTATGTGGTTTGTTGTAACAACAGGGCTATGAAATCAAAGTTTCATAATCCTACATATGAATTTCAGTGATTCCTGCAGTTTTCAATTATTGCTGGAAAACATGAACTTGTTTTCTCCATTTTGCCCATGTTTTCTTTTGACAGAGATGTTTAGCTCCAAAATTCTTTCCTTTCTACTTTGAGATGCAACTAGTCCTATAATATAAATACTTCTTCATACAGTCTTCCTCATTGCTATAATTCCAGATGGCAAGAAGTCAGACATTTTACATGTGCTGATCAAATTTTTAGTGAATGAACATATAACTGAAATTCTGCTGTACTGCTATATGTTCACATTCTTAACATTATCTTAAAAGTTGTAAGAGTTGGGAACACCTTCAACAAAATTTCATAGTTGAATGAATATATTGTCACTGCAATCACTACAATGAATTAATCTGTCAAAAATAATTGACCTATTTGTGCTCTCACTACACACATACACACGATTATCTAGAGAATTTAAATGATGGTGAGTAGATTATTAGCAAGGTGGAGAATAAAATATTTTGTCCCTACCAGCACTTGTTAATTGATTCTTCTAAGGACTACATCTATATATCTATCCATATATCCATATAGAGATATAAGAGAGAAAAAGCGAGAAAGGGAGGAAGAGGTAGTGCGAGAGAGGAAGAGAGAAGTACACACATACATGCCTACCCAACCTATATAAACATGACCACACATTTATATATGTATTCACATAGTGTAAGAATGAATGAGTATTAGAATTTTAATCCATAATCAAACAGAACTTAGCAGTACCTAATATATGTCTTTTACATTAGGAAAAGCAAAATAATGTTTGAAATACATGACATAATCCTCATACAACACACTTTCAGATTCCTGGAAAGTGACACTCCTATGACAAGTACTCACCAGTTCTTCAGAGGTCAAATGCATCAAACGTTCTGCTATTGCAGCACACTGGGCTGAGTCTCGTAGAAATTCCCCTTGTTTATCACCAATTACTAGTTCTGGCCATGTCAGTCCTTCGTTCTTCTTAATCAAGGAAATCTCCAAGCTAGAAGTTTAAATGAGAAAAGTAATGTTACATTAAGCATCTATACAAATTATACAATGAATACGAAACAGAAGAATCTTCCATAGAAATTACTCCTTTCGTGTCCAGATGTTTTACCAAAAATTTGTTCATTCTAGCTTTGCATATGATGGAAAACCTATTAGACAAAAGTAAATAATTTGGATTTAGTGAACAAACAAGTACCACTGGAAATGGTGTCAAATGGCTGGCTTCATGAGAGAAGTGACTGGGAGGAGTTTACAAGCACCCAGAAAGTATTGTAGTCCAGGTGTGTAGCATGTTACCAAATTTAAATAACAGAAGTGCAAGTAGCATGGACCTGAGATATTTCACTGGAGAATGGTGGTTTTGGTAAGTGGCAGTTATGAAAGATAATTACAATGATAGTCTCTATCACCTTAAAATCTAATTCTGTACATTTAAGCTATTAAATATAAATTCCAAATATACTAAAGAGGTCCTATCAAGAAATACTGAGACTAACGTCTGATGCAACAAGAAAGGGAGAGAGAATTGAGTCAGGACAGACGGTGGACACAGAAAGGATAGAAGTTGCCTATGTACCTTCTGAATAGGCAGGGAAATTAAAGCTCCTTTAGGAGCAGCTACAGCTGTAATACAGAGAAGAGTGGGATGGTGCTGGCCGTTCCATAGCAAAGCAACCATTTCCATGTGCTATCTTCAGTACACACGTGAAATAATAACCCATACCCTGGAACACGAGTGCAAGCAAACAATTGCAAGAACCCAGTAATAACTATTATCATAATTATCAAATAGAACATGAAAACTTATTAGCTATTCTTTTTTCAAGGCTATTATCACCACCTCATGAATTAATTACAGCACTTTAAAATTTTCTGAAACTACTTAAAGAGACTATACAAAATTACATCTTTTCTGTGCAATGAGTTCTTATCACTAGCATTAAAAATTACCACTATAATCAGTAATGCCCAGATTTAGTATTTTTTTAAGGAGAAAGCTAATCTTGATAATGATGATGATGAACATAATTATGATGATAACAACAATAATGGCAATTCATACTTACCTAGTGCTTCCTATATGTCAGGTGCTCTCTGAAGCACTTTGCATGTTTTAACTCATTTAATGCTCATCACAACCAAATAAAGTAAGTACTACTTAAATTTCCATTTTACAAATATGGAAAAAAAAGCAGTAAGAGGTTAAGTAACTTGCCAAGGTCAAGAGCTACCTAGTAAAGCACTATGGCTCCAAGTCCATGCATGTTCTTCACTACACTTTCTGCCTCTCCAAAACAATATATGTAAGTAACTATTAAAGAATTTTCACCGAGTGACCAGAATGTATAAATACTGTTCTAAGCTGCTACCTAAAGAAGTTAGAGTTCATACAATCCCAGTTATAAAGAATTTCTGAACCATCTATAATATGTACAAACTTAAGTCAACTGCATTGCACAACTGCATTTTTACATTTTTTAAAACCAGTATCATATCCTACTATCTACGCAAAAGGAACATACAACGCTCTACATAAAAACTGCAGATTATGTAACAAATCCCTCCAAAGTGAGAGGGAACATCAACTAATTGAAAATGAGATACATGAATAATTTAATCAAGTACACTTACACATCATTGTAATTATCTTTCATAACATAAAATAGTCATCACCTCAAATTTAGTGGACAAACAATAGTCTATGCTCATGTATCAAGTGTTGAAACTATTTGCATTAGGTCCAGCTAGTCTCCTGGACCTTTGCTGGGTTACTACTTGATGACTTAGTAACAAGTTCTAGTTGGTCTGCCAATTTATAAACAAACACTATCCTCAAATCTCTCACACATAAAATGTTTAAATAGAATATATGAAGATACAAAGTATTTTTTAAAGAACCTTTTGGATAATTTAAAAAATAACATGTTAAAAGTTACAAGTCACCACATTTATCCATTAATAAAATGAATTAGGGACATCTTTTAAAGTTTAAAATAAATTTTTAACTAGATATCTATTTCTTAGATTTAGACTCATATCAAAAAGTCACATGGGTCATATACTAGTCAAAACTAATCAATAATTATATTTAGAATAAAAATATCTAATTTTAACCACTTCCAACCAAATCTGACAATTTTTAAAATTAAGGGTCTAATACCATTCATTAACCCATCACAGAATCAATGACTGGGGAGTGAAGTGTCCAGGACAAAAGATTTACAAAGAAGCTTGGTAGTGGGGACAGAGAATCATAGTCTTATAAGACACTTAACCTTACCCTTTTTTTTTTTTTAAAACATACTCCTTCTATTGAGGTGTAATTTATAGACAAAAATGACAGATCTTCAGTGTAGAATTCATCTGTGTAACTCAATGAAGATACTGAGCCATCCAGAAATTTCCCCTGTGCCTTTTCCCAGTCAATTCCTCTACACCCTAGAGGTAATCATTACTCTGATGTATATCACCATAGATTACTTTTGTCAGTTCTAGAACTCCACATATATAGAACCACACAGTGTGTACTTTTTTTTACCTCTGGCTTCTTTTACTACATATAAGATTTCTGAGATTTATTCATATTGTTGTGTTTATCAGTAGCTTGCTCATTCTTTTTAATTGCAAAGTAGCAGTATGTTATATGAATTCACCACATTTTTTTATCCATTCACCTGAATCATGAACATCTGAGTTTCCGGTTTTTGGCTGTTACAAAGTTGCTATGAATATACTACTACAAACTTCGGCTGGGGGTTGGGGGCAGGGAAGAGGAGCTTTGTTTTACTTTTTAACATATGTTTTCATTTCTCTTGGGTAAAATAGCTAGGAGTAGAAATTCTGGGTTGCAAAGTAGGTGTATGTTTAGCCTGATAAGAAACTGCTCAACAGTTTGTCGAAGTGAGTCTATCACTTTTCACTTCCACGCAATGCACAAGCTGCTGACGCTCCATATCCTCCCCAACATTTGATGCAATCATTCGTTTTAGTTTTAGCCATGCATTTGTGTCTCATCTGGTTTAATCTGCATTTGCCTAATGACTAACGATGAATATTTTTTCACATGCTTACTAGCCAACTGTATCTTCTAAATGTGTCTATTCAAATCATTTGACCATTTTTAAAATTGGGTTTTTGCTTCATTATGAATTTATAGTAGGATTTCCTTATATATTGAGAAATCCTTTGTTTGAAGTGAGTACTGGGAATATTTTTTCCCAGTTCATTGCTTGCCTCTTTTGTTTTCTTAACAGTGTCTTCAGAAGAGAGGAAATTCTCAGTTTTGATACACAGAAAAGTTTGGTTTTCATGAAGTCAAATTTATTATGTATTTTTAAAATGTGTGTGCTGAACACAATTTACAAAAGAAATGTAAATGGTTAACTGGCACAAGAAAATATTTACTCAACCATTTTCAAAGAAATAAAGGGTAAAAAGAAAAGATAAAATAAAAAATAAAATTATAAATACAACCATAAAAATACCTATTATCTTTAATTATCCATGTACTGCTCTCTTGATCAATAGAAGAATAGAGATTTCCCTTCAAAAACCTCTGACCCTTTAGCACAACACTGATGTGATCAGACAAAAATTGTATTTGAACATCCTCCTTCGTACTGTCTTCTGGAAGCCGTATTGTTACTGTCAAATCATCTTCAGTCTGTTGCCAGAAATACAGAGGTTCTACTAGGAAAAGAAAGACGCATTATGTAATAAAAAAAATAGAAGATTAAACATACAAAATTAGAGATTAGAATACCTATCCAAAGGAATCAGCATATTTTCTAGTTATTTCACAAAAAATTAATTTTAAAGAAATAGACACAGATCTCTTTGGGGAATTTTTACTTAGAGTTATAGCAATTGCACTTGACATTCTCCTCTCCCAGGCTTATCTAATGCTCCAAGAGATAAGCACTGATAAAATACCAATGACTGCAATCCTTCACCATTCTTCCTCTCCCTGCCTCCCAGTTCCCCTCCTTTCTTTCTTCTCCCTCTTCCTTTTCCCCTTCCACAGACTGACACACACACAGGATTTTTAGTCCAAAAGAACACCAAATATGTCATAAACCACTGTCTGAAACCCCCTTGTCCATCATTTCTCATAAGGTATTGGGTATTCTACCCCACAACTTTGTTGTATGAAAGCAATCTCACAGGATATATTCAAGGCCAGTCAGTACACTTTGTCTAAGTCCCAGTAAAAGAATTCTCCCTTCACCTTCTCTATTTCCTAAGTCTGTATTCTAAAACCCAGTTACTAAAGAAGCATCTTTAGATTCATTATACTATAATCATGGAAGTAAGAAAAACAGAAAAATAAGCAAAAAGAATAAATATTTGCTTAATGACATCTTTAAGCATTGATCTCTCCATCAGGAAGGAATACAACGTAGGGATTAGAAAGCAGTACTCCAGACTTGTCCTGGGTCTCAATGCCAGCACATTTATTAATTTTGGTATGCAACTTTATCTCTCGTTTTCCTAATTTGTGCAATAACAGACTATTACATATGTCATAGGACTATTGAGATTTAAATGAGTTAATGCACATAAAACATATAGTATCAATCCTGTTATTAAATATAAACTCTCACTAAATGTGGAGTATTACTAGTCTATTATTTTGGTACTGTTTTATGTAAAAACTTTGAGGGCACTAGATATGCTCAAACATAGAGCGTAAGAATGGTGTATCTTCTTGAAAGGGTCACTTTTACTTGATGTTAAAAAAAAATTATTTTAGGAGGCTGGTCCAAGATGGCAGTGTATTAGGAGCCTGGGTCTACCTCCTCCCACATACACACCAAATCTATTTCTACACATAGAGCAATGAAGAAGAGTGGCCCAAGTGAACAACTGCACAATGAGAGGTACAAGGACCACTAAAAATGGCAGGAGAAACAGAAACATGGCAATGCAGGGAGTTCCATCCCCAGGGTGACCCTAGAGTAGGGATGGCTATCATCGAGCTACCGGAGTGCAGAAAAAAAGCTGTGTAGTTGGAGGGTTTGAACCTTTCTGCAGAGGAACTGCTGGAACTCTCTCCACGACTGGGGGTGCTGGAGAGCACCACTGCTTGCGGTCTTCCAACCCTGCTAG